ATAGATATAGATATAGATATAGATATAGATATAGATATATGTGCGAAAAAACTGTGAATATTAAACATGTATATCAAATTAATAACATGCCTTCGTGTCCTTCAAGACAAACATACCGACATGAACCTGGAACGAATATTTTGCATATTCATGTTGATTTATCATAAGGTTTTTTACTTTCCTTTTGCTTTCTTTTTGCTTCTAAGATTTCCTTTTGCCATGAATACATCTTATACTGATAAATGTATCTCAGGTGTTCAGTGCCCGGTGGCGTCGTCTCCTGTAAATGGTGATTCGAGCGGTTCCAACTTCTACCAGGACGTGGTACAGTTCACGTGTGACCCAGGATATGATCTGGTAGGAGATTCCAGTTCTACCTGCCAAGCAGACCGAACATGGAGCAGCAACACCCCATCATGCAGCGGTAGGATATTGACCAAATGATTATGTTTACCGTTTCCTCCTCTTCTTCTCCAAACCAATAAGGTCAATGAGCTGAACCAGACGTCTGCCACCATGGCAACTGATGTTGGGTTACATCATGTTGCAATTCTATAGCAGGAGGGGTTTAGACTCCTGTCTGACCATATATATGAATGTGTTTGAGTAAGAATATTAACAGAGCAGACCATATACGAAGGTAAACATTATGTATTTGCTTGGCAAATGTTACCATTCTAGTTGATTTAAGTTGAAAAATTTTACTGAAAAAATTCTTCAAAGAGACACCTCATAAACTAATTGTGTTCACTAGCTGCTAATTTATAATGAACAATTGCATTTTCTTGTTTCTTTTATGTAGACATTGATGAATGTTCAAACGCAAATGGCGGCTGTGACCATATGTGCACCAACACAATGGGCAGCTTCCAGTGTTCGTGTGTAACTGGATTCACCTTAAACGTAGACAGCCACTCCTGTAATGGTAAGCGTCATTCTATCCGTATGGACAAAACATCATTCCTCATCTATTTTGTGACATATTGCAAGTGTGCTGATTCACATATTTTATATGACACCACGCTAGTTTCACAATGAAAATTACCTCTATTTTATGGTCCAAAACTTCCCCTTGAGCTATTAAATAATATGGTACTTTACCTCCGGAGGGTATTACTGACAACGGGTTTTCTGTTTTTAGTGGCGTTTGTGTGTTTGTACCCATAACTCATTTTCCTTTGGGTGGAATTTTAGTATGTGGTTAGCTATTGAGATCGTGATGATTCATGGTGATTTGGGGAATTTTATTTGCATTTTCAGGTAGCTGATATTGACTAACATTAGCTGTACCGTACTACTTACAAAGTTGTAGTTAACACCTGTAGTATTATATTTTGATTTGTTAACAGCTGATGTAAATTGTATGGTCTAGCATCACACATTTCTAAACTGATTACCGATGTACTTTTACTGTGTACATTGAAATTATTATATCACCCATATTCATGTGGCGTTAAAGATAACATTGTTGTTAATATGGTGTCTGAAACCGTCAGCAGCAGCTGTGAAAATTTTACTCTACAGCCCAGAGGTTTGATGTCCTCAGATGTCCTATTCTATCTATATTTTGAATGCCTTAATTAATTGCCTCCATCTCATGATCCTATAGATTAAACTTAGCAAATGCATGCCAATTTGCCAATGTATTCTTGAAAACTTGAATGGCATTTTCCATTTCTTACACAAAAATACCTTCTTGCTACGTTAAGACGTCGATGAATGTACCGTTGGAAATGCTGGCTGTCATCAGAACTGCAACAACATCATCGGGAGCTACTGGTGTTCTTGTGGAACTGGCTACAGATTAAACAGCGATGGTCACACTTGTGATGGTAAGAGTCTCTTGCTTTGAATCGCACTGTAAACATAAATGGTATAACGCACGATTTGTCAGTTTAGAGGAACGTTTCTACAACATACAGTTTGACTGCAACTGTGTGAGAAACGTGTTTACTATGCAACAGCGTAAGAAATGTGTTATACTATGCAGTAGTGAGAGGCTTATTTACTGTGCAGCAATGTGACAAACGTGTTTAGTAGGTGACACCGTGAGAAGCATTTCAACATTATGTAACAGTGTGAGAAGCTTGTCTGCAATCTCTCTAAAATCTTTCTAATGGAAAAGCAAGGGTGACTTGCTGTCCTATGAAAATACTACAAACCAACACCACAATATGTCCTCATACCTAGCAACACGTCCTCCTGTGTCTTTTCAAACGCAGATGTGAACGAATGTTTGGCGGCCAGCGGTGGATGTAGTCAGACTTGTACCAACACTATCGGCAGCTTCCTTTGTTCTTGTGGACCTGGCTTTAGTTTGAATGCCAACGGACTCTTTTGCGACGGTGAGCAAATTTCGTACACTTCATATAAAACGCATGTAAATCAACTTACTCAGGATGCCGGTGGACAACTCCAGGACTATAAGAACACAATGAAACACAGACAGGGTTAAAGAATGATGATGATGATTGTATAGGGTGATTTTACACATGCAAATCATATTGATGAAAATTATCCTTTACACCATATTATTTGGATTGTTTGCAAATCAGAAGTAAGTTCACGGATAAATATTGCCCTTCTTTCGGTCTTGTTCTACCGGTTAGTTTTATTTTACCTTACCGTCGATAACAAACCCTTGTTTCTATACAGACGTTAACGAATGCTCCAATGGAAATGGTGGATGTGATCAAACTTGCACCAATTTTATCGGGAGTTCCCTGTGCTCCTGCCATGATGGGTACAGTCTGGATAGCGACGGTTTTACTTGTAATGGTATGGATGCTTTTTTTTATTTCTTCATCGCAACGGTAATCTTTTAGATAAGGGTTTCAATTAACAATAAAGTAATTCCTAAAATTATTTTAATATAAAAGAATCTATTCTCTTTGAAGCAGTCTTTAGCATGGTTTCACAATGTTGAACAACATTTGTACAACGATTCAAAATGCATTTTTCTACTCTCGGTCTAAAATCAATTTTGTTGGCCTCTCCAAATCATTTTGGGTCAGTGATAAAGCAGCTAGTAGATTGGTCAAGATGCTGGTCTTCACAAATTCACTTTCAAAACTATTGTTTATCCAGTAGTATCCTATGAAGGGATTGACACTCTTGATGTTCGTAAATGCATGTTTTAGATTTTCTTTTTATCGTCAAATTTACGCACGTTTGTCTCTATGGTTCTGTCCACAAGACGTTGATGAATGTGCTTCTGCAAACGGTGGCTGTGCGCAGAATTGCACGAACAGCATCGGGAGCTTCCACTGTTTCTGCGGGATTGGCTACAACGTGAATGGCGTTCTTTGTAATGGTAAGCATCTCTGCTTTCAACCATTCATGCTGTCTTGTCTTCTGCAGTAACTGTTATGTTACGTTGTATTATGGTATGTTATATTATGCTACTTCATAGTATGTGATGCATGTTATATTTACCCAAAAGTGTACTTATACGTGTTTATGGCATCATTTTTGTGTCAAAATTACGGACGTAAAAAACGTCACGTGCATCACGTCTATGGGTTAATACGCCACGTATGCGCCAGGCAAACTTTACGTATGGCAAAACGTATGAATACGTTACGTACAAATGGTTCTGCAATTTCCGTGCGAAAATTACGTCCTTAAAAAGCGTTTGCTGGGTCCATACGTCAATTTTGCCAGGAAACCGTAACTATGGCAAAACGTACGGATACGGTTACGGCACTATGGAACATTTGTACAGTCATGTATAAAAGTTTCTGTTGAATACCTGACATCAACGATATGCAAACGTTGATTCAGACACAATCGCCGCCTGCGAGTGGGGCAGAGTACATCTGTCTTGCTCAGACGGAGAGACGCTCATCATTGCCGATGCGACCTACGGCAGGACGTCCCTCTCCCTCTCCGCCTGCCCCTGCTCCACCTGTCGCACTGACTGCCGTGCAGGCACCAGCCTGGCCGTGGTGACGGCCGCCTGCCAGGGCAATCAGCAGTGCTCAGTGGCAGCGAGTAATTATGTGTTCGGTGACCCCTGTCACGGGACGCAGAAGTACTTGGAGGTGTCATACCGCTGCACAGGTGGGCAAGCGGAATTATTAGTACGTAGTAGTAGTAGTCCACTGTGTTCTGCTGCTGCAGTAGCTCGGCATCCTGCAGCATCAATCAGTTTTCTTCAGCTCTCTCCACTTCGTCCTGTTCATCGCGAGCCTCCTGAGCTCCTGGAGTTTTCTTTCTGACCGCAATGGTCCTAGTCCTCTTTCCTTGAGGTCTGCCCTCAGCAAACTTAGCAGATTACTGCAGTGCCTTCCCTTTCTGGATCTGTAAGAGTCAGATCCTACCAGGGCGAAGGTCAAGGCTTGTTGTGCAGGTGCGTCTGTCGGCATTCTTAGAATGTGTCCGCAGTTTTGCACAGTTTGTACAGTGCTTTATTTGAGATTAAGCTATTCGGCCATCGATGTCCTGTGATTGTTCTTAGGTGTTTCCGGTGGCAGGCATCTAGCTTGTCTACTGCTGTCTGTGGTGCTGCCCAACTGTTGCAGTTGTAGAGCATGATTGACACGCAGGTGGCATTGTACAGTTGCAGCTTCTTTTTTAATGGAATTTTTGATCGACGAATCTATATTTTCCAGAGGGACTTGAACGCAATGTTGCCCATGTGCACCGTGCTGCTATGTCGGATGAGCTGCAGCTATAGCTATATAGCATTTTCCATTCTCTACAATTTAGTCACCTTCCCACCAGACAGCAATTCCTGAGCGACAGTTATATGCATGAGGGACCAGAATTGGACTTGTATGATCCTTGGTTTTATAATTGAAATCCGAGAGTTCAAACACCTCATACTTTCACCAAATGATGTTAACCATTCTGAATAAATTTTACATTTTCTCATTGATTATAGAAATAAGATCGTGATTTTGACCCACGTGACGGATGGAACCAGAAAATGTGACGTTTTGTACGTATATAATTTTGACACGGAAACTACAAGTACGCAACGCATCAGTGCGTTTTACCATACATGACGTTTTCCTGGCATACCTGACGTATTGACCAAAACACGTGACGTATTGACCCCAAAACGTGACTTTTTTTACGTATGCAATCATGACACGGAAATGATGCCATAGCATGTTCACTAAGATAATAATAAGATAATGAAGTATTAATTTTCTTTATCATCATTATATACTATATTATTATACTCTTACATTGTTTTCCGACACAGATTTGGATGAATGTGCTACTGTGAACGGCGGCTGTGTGCAAAATTGCACTAACAACATCGGCAGTTTCCAGTGTTCCTGCTCAGATGGATACAGACTGAATAGCGATGGCTTTTCTTGTGATGGTGAGCTATTCAATAGACTGTCTTGTAATATACATTAAAGTCAATAATGCAAAAGTACTACGTATGGTTGGACATTAGTAAATACTATTCTGAAACGTGGATTGATGTGAAGTATTCTGCGGCTGTTTAGCAAGTTTTGTATCTGTGGATGCATGCAGAATTCGCCAAATGAAATATTGTTTTCTAAACCATACAGACGAGAATGAGTGCGACACTGGAAACGGCGGATGTGACCAGAACTGCACCAACTCCATTGGAAGTTTCCATTGTTCCTGTGGCATTGGCTACGACTTGAATGACGATGGGTTTTCCTGTAATGGTTAGGATCTATGTCTGCACTGTTTTAATTCGTAAAAATTCTTTACATTTGCGTAAAATTGATGATCATATATTTACTATCATCAGTACTGCTGTTTTCTTGTCTGTTGATGTGTTTTTTCTCTTTAGATACCAATGAATGTCACCCAGCAAATGGTGGCTGTGAGCAGATGTGTACCAACACCATAGGAAGCTTCCAGTGTGTCTGCGGCATCGGTTACGCATTGAATACCGGCGGTTTCACGTGTGATGGTAGAAAACGCGCTGTATTATTTGTTTGGAATTTTGCACTTTTCGGTATGGGGTGTGTGTGTCATTCCATTGTACTATCTATACTCTTTTTATCATATAGAACAACCGTTTTACTCGGAAGCATTGTAATTTACATTTTTTTTAAAGAACAGACACAATCAAGACGCGCAAGATGGCTCAATCGATTTAGGTACATAAAATTGCAAAAAACAAACTACCAGATACATTTTTGGATATAAACACCACATGCAAAAAAACATTGAATCGTTGCAATTGGAAACTTTTATTACCTGGCTACTTTCAGATTCCTACGTTTATATGTGTCGGCATGGTCAATCATAGTTTGATTTTTTATTACATTCACAGACGTAGATGAATGTTTAACTGCTAATGGCGGCTGTGAACAGATTTGCAACAACACCATTAGTAGTTTTGAGTGTTCCTGTCATACCGGCTACATTCTGCATTCTGACGGGTTGGCCTGTGATGGTAAGTATTTCTGTAACAATTTTTGCTTTTCATAAAATACAATATATCATATCATCAACATCGTGTTCATACTACATCAATTTAGTATGTACTCTAAGACACAAGAAAACGGTTTCATCAATTGTGTCGTTTGTTGCTTTAGATATTGATGAATGTGAGACAGCAAACGGAGGCTGTGGACAGTTCTGCACTAACACCATCGGTAGCTTCAACTGTTTCTGTGCGGCTGGTTACAACCTCAGCATGGATCAGCTCGCCTGTGACGGTAAGGACTTTGCACATTTCTGAGAAATAAGGTAAAGGAACTTTTTACCATGATGACTAATTGCCAACTGATATTTGGTTGCTAAAATATAAATTTGCGTTTGAAACCAACTCATGGAATTTTTTTGTCTTCGTCAGAAAGAGTATGTATTCGGTTTGGCCCTGGTGTGGGTTCGTATGTGCATGAGGGTCGACGTTATAACTCGACTATTTGTCGCATTTTTTTCAATTTTTGGTGTGTGGGTAGCTGTTGTTAAAATGTACTTCAAGTTTAAAAATGGACCACTTGGCTTTTCCTGATCTAATTGTAGCGGGCTTTCCCACTGTTCTTTAAAACATGATACGCGCGCGTTACTGTTTAGTTAAATAATTATAATACCTACCTGTATGCCTTATCAACCTTAGTTAACAGTGAGTCCTATATCACAAACATTCATAATAATAACATGACTATATGTTTTCTGAACGACCAGTTGTGTTTCTAAACGTTTCACCACACAGGTTTCGATCCAGTGTCGAATCTTTCATGTTTGTCTGCCACAAAAACGTCCATCTCCGTGAGCTGGACCGAGCCAGCTGCTGACATTCAGGGTTACACCGTAATGTACATTCCTGTATCGGGTTAGTTCTTCACACATTTTTCTTACCAACATTACTGTTGTTTTTGCTTCGTCTGCATTGGCCAATTTGGGGCTATGTTGATTCTAATACAGGATATAAGGAAAGTAAATAGATATAAAGAAAATAAATATATCACAAATATCATGCTACTCGTAACTACTTATACACAGGTATACCTGTCTACCATATACTGTTAGTATATGGCTGCTTCAAATGCCGAACTACAAGAAACCATCAAGATACAAGATGCAGAGATACAGTTCCTTTCCGACAGGTATAAAGATTTGGAGACAAAGCTCGAATCTTGCCAGTGTCGTACAATCGCTAAAGACAACACACAACCAGGAATTAATCAAAAGAAACCTCCGCATAACAAAGCTACTGATTGTAACACTTCCTCGACTGCTATCCATCACAACAGGGGCACTGTCGCTAATCAAGGGAACAATGCACCTTCCGCGGGCACCACTCACGATAACAAGAGTCGCGCACCTATCAACACCACACGAACTGTGAACGACGCCAAAATCGCACCTTCTGGTATTGTTAACCAGAACTCCGACTTGCCCTCGCCAGTCAGCGGCGCCAAAGAGTCTCCCGGTAACAATGACAGCTTTGAAGTACGTATTTTTGCCGACTCCATCTTCAGAGATGTTGACGTTCAACGTGCCTTTCGGGATAAACCCACCAAGATGTACAGGAACAGCACGATTGTGTCAGCTACTGCCAGTGTAAAACACATGAAGGATCCATCAACCAAACTCGTCATACTACATGTCGGCTCTAATGACCTAGACAATAGTAGACACAGAAAGGACTCCGTAAGTGAAACTGTGAAAAACACACAAAAACTGATGGATGCGACAAAGGTAGCATTTCCGAATGCACAAGTAGCAGTTTCCCAAGTCCTACAAAGAGGGCCAAACAGCAACACCACTCTCAACCTGAACATCAAGGAGTACAACCAAGAAATTCTGAAACTATCACGCAACGGCAACTTCACCTACATAAAACATAGAAAACTCACACAGGACCGACGCCTGTATCTGCCTGACCAGATTCACATTGACCCCAGAAGTGGCACAAAGCTGCTTGTGTCAGACGTCATCCGTACACTGAATCAAGTACCTGGCCTTAAAACAGCGAGACAACAGCCCGCTTGGACAAACTCACAGTCCAACAGACATGTACCCAACCAGTACGCCCCATGGAAGTGGCAACCCAGGCCTATGGGCACGCACAACACACCCACTCACGATCGGGGGATGATCAGAGGACAACAGAGTGGCACTAGCCCCGTTCCAGTCAACAGGAGAAGGAGTCAACTGCCAGCCTTGAACCCGACACGCCAACCGTCCAGCATTGACCAGACTCCGAGCACCACAACAGTCGCAAGACCTGCCTGGCTACCGACAGCAAACATCCCACATCACGTCAAACAGTGGAAACAACTAGGAAAGCGACTACGGAAAGTCTGGGACATTCTTGTACCATAGATACTACACGGTTATCAAGGTAATACTATCCTTGTGTTTCAAATGATGCCTGACAATCACGTAAGGGAGTCTACATAGTTTATAACACGTGTTTATTACTATTAGTTAAGTTTTTATCCCTCTTGACAAGAGCAAGGACTTTACATAGGAAGGTCCTTGACAAATAACACTGTATAGTATACTTTAGCTTTATTCTTATATGATTTTCATATACTAGCAACGTGCTTCATACAGCTGTAAAAAACCTTCAATACATTAGAGGAGATGAGGAAAAAATCAGCCTTAGTTTTTCCACTTGGAATATTCAAGGTAGTTGTAGTAAAAAGTTCAATGATGTAGAATTTTGTTCTTATTTTAAAAATAGTGATTTTATATGTGTGCAAGAAACCTGGGCAGACAACTATGTACAACTCGATATACCAGGTTATAGTCTGTTTAGTAGCAATAGAAATAGAAGTAGAAGGGCAAAGCGAAACTCGGGTGGGGTAGCCACTATTTTCAAAAGCGCGTACAGAAAGGGGATTCAAAAATTAGAAAGTGATTCAACTGACTGTATTTGGTGCAAACTTGACAAAAATTTTTTCGGTCTTGAAAATGACTTATTTCTTTGTAACGTATACATTCCCCCTGAATTCTCTAAGTCGTCGCAGCATGATCCATTTGATATACTATCTAAGGAAATTTGCAAATTTTCTAATCTTGGTGACATAGTAATACTAGGCGATCTAAATGCGAGAACAGGACGGCTTACAGAAGCATATTTTGATCTAGACACCTCCAATGAGTCCAAAACAAACATACCTTTTGATATAAAAAACAGAAACAATAAGGATTGTAAAAGTGAACAATTATGGAAATTGTCTTATAGAATTGTGCTCTTCAGCAGATTTAGCCATTTTGAATGGCAGATTTGCCGGGGACCTGAAAGGTGATTTTACTTGTTATCATTATAATGGTTCAAGTGTTGTCGACTACTGCATTACTCAAAGGTCCTTGCTAAATCATATTCAATATATGAATGTCAGCTCCATATCACCGTTCTCCGATCACTGTCATATCTCCTTTTCCATGTCGACAAAGTACTCTCCACTTGTCTTGAAAGATAGTAGTCATGTAAACCCAAAACCAGTGCAATATCTCTGGAATGACGAATCAAAAGAATTATTTTTAAATACTTTGAATAATAACGATACACGTTCTAAACTGAGTAATTTCTGCCAGAAAAATTTACTTCAGCGGAAAACGCCGTTATAAGTTTCACAGAAATTCTACTAGAGGTTTCAAAAAGATCTTTAAAGATAAAACGCCATAGACAAAACAACAAAACTGTTCATGTTAAAAAAACAAACCATGGTTTGATCAACATTGTTGGTCCCTACGTCAACGATTAAAAAGACAATCGTCTATTTTGAAAAAAGATCCTTGGGCACAAGATAATAGATCAAGATATTTTAGTACTCTGAAAGAATACAAAAAAGTGATAAAACAACAGAAACGTTATTATAAGATTGAGCTTTTGAAGAAATTGGAATCATTGAATGAGAAAAACCCCTAAAGAATTTTGGTCATTACTAAATTACCTAGACACGGAAGTAAACGGAAAAAACAATAAGAGCTCTGTAGATCCCACCATTACAGCTGAACAATGGATAAACCATTTCCAAGACTTAAACAACCTAGTGAGAAATACGAGTTTTGACACTGCCTTTGAAAAACAGTCTTTGATCATTTAGAATATTCACACGACTGCACACCAAATTTATTAGACTTTCATTTCACCCCACAAGAAGTTTTAAACGGTTTAAGATCACTGAAATCTGGGAAGGCATGCGGCATAGACTCCATTTCAAATGAGATGCTAAAACATGGGTCAGCACAGCTATGCCAGTCACTAGTAACATTATTCAATACAATTCTATCAAACGGCAAGTTTCCATCAAACTGGAACACTAGTATTCTCACTCCAATTTTCAAATCAGGCGACAAATCTAATGCTGACAACTACAGAGGAATCGCCATCTCAAGCTGCTTATCAAAATTATTTACTCTATTATTGAATACTAGACTACAAAACTTTGTCGAAGATAAAGGCATACTAAATGATACACAGTTTGGATTTAGAAAAAAGGTGCAGAACCTCAGACAATGTATTTATCCTTAAATCTCTCATTGACAATACACACAAAAAAGAAAGGTAAATTATTCGTTTGTTTCGTCGACATGAAGAAGGCTTTTGACAGTGTTTGGCGTGATGGTTTATTCTACAAACTGTCGCATTATGGTATAGGTGGAAATTTTTTCAATGTGTTGCGGTCTATGTACCTTGATGTTAATTATGCTGTTAGACTACAAAACGGATTGTCGAATCCTTTTGTTTCCACATGTGGGGTAAGACAGGGGTGCAATCTTAGTCCTTTATTATTCAACCTTTTCATTAATGACCTGCCTTCATGTTTTGATCCAAACAAATGTGACGCTGCAACTTTAACTTCTACATCACTTAACTGTTTATCTTGGGCGGACGACCTCGCCCTAATCTCACTGGTCTCAAGAAGGTCTACAGAACTGTATAAACAATTTAGAAACATACTGCAATAGATGGAAATTGAGTGTCAATGTAACTAAAACCAAAGTTCTTATATTCGCGAAGGGAATACCAAACAAACGTCTAAATAGATTCTATATATATGGAAAGGAAATTGAAGTTACCGATAGCTACACTTATCTCGGTATACCTTTCACGTCTTCGGGCAAATTTAAAACCGCCAGAAAATATTTAAAAACTAAAGCAATGAGAGCGTTATTCAAACTTAAATCCCTTTTGTTTTCTGAAATTAACATTTCAATTCAATTAGCAAAAAGCCTCTTCAACAAATTTGTGAAGCCGATTTTCTATATGGATCCGAATTAACCTGTTTCGACCAAACATCTAAAACACTAAAACTTAATGTTTCTACGCGTATTCCAGAATCCACACCAAAAACGTTTTCTCCGCTGTATTAGAGAAACTTGGTCTCGATGAAAACATTCCTGCTTCGGTTAGAAAGAGTTTAAGCTCCACTTGTGCCCATACATATGTGATCCATTTTGAAAGAAGGACAGATAAGGACATGTTTTTTAATCTAGCGTCTCGGCTAAAATTAGAAAACGACAACTTTTCAATTGAAAATATACATCTTTCTCAACATATTCCAGAATTTGATGCCATCGATATGAACTTTCAAAAATTTTTACTTAGAGTTAATACAAAAGCATCAAATGATGGTGTTCGTGGAGAACTAGGAACCTTTCCAATAATAATAGATACTGAAATACAATTAATAAAATACTGGCATCGTCTTGTAAACTTGCCCGAAGACACCTTACTTCGTGAAGCATACGATGTTTTATATTCTGGCAAACACGATTGGCTTAACCACGTAAACGACATTCTGAATTACAATGGTCTTGGACAATTCTGGACGAACCCCGGGTCATATCAAGTGGATACGATAACCAATCAATTACGATCCCGCCTTCAAGATATATATGTACAAAAATGGTATAACTCTATTAGTAACAACGCAAAACTTTCTGTTTATACCGCATTAAAGGAAAACTATGGACAAAAACAATACCTCTCAAGTATACACAATCTAGATATCCGAAAAGCGATCACAAAACTAAGAATTAGTTGTCATAAATTAAACATAGAAATAGGTCGATACAAGAAAATACCAAATGACCAAAGGTTCTGTCCATTTTGTCCAAACTTGATCGAAAATGAGCACCATTTTATAATGGATTGTACACTATACAATGATAAGCGCCGATTGCTGTTCACCTTTCTTTCCGCTTGTTCAATTGATTTCAATATATTAGATCCTATAGATAAATGCAACTACATTCTAAGGGGAGATAACCAATACAGTGTTCAAATAGGAAAATACATTAAAGAATGTTTTGATCTTAGAGAACACATGTTAGAGAATAGTTAACCTTTATTGTTACATCATACATATACTCTGTACGTAAGATGACGTTATCCGCACATGTATTTAGCTTTGTTAGATCTTTAGTTAAGTTGTAGAAGACCATACAAAAGTCTCTGTACTTTTTTGTTGTGTCAATAAAGAATCTGTAATATATTCTCTGATCCCATACGACATTGTCTCTTGTAGAGTAGTTAGTCAGAATCTTAAAAGTAGCATTAAGTAAATTAAATATTAGTTGTTATAAGTTGCAGATGTATATTATATATGCAGTATTGTTGTGCAATAAATCATATCATCATATATCCACTTATGTAGGCCAATTTGTACACAATTCGCTGACAAAATGAGAAAATGTGACAACAATTCCTGACACAATATAGAGTTATATTAGTATAACAATTAGTGTCTCTTTATTGTTATACATTGTTTTTGGTGGTATACGTAGACCAGATTCTTAGTTCAGTTAGCAGAACTGTTAGATATTTTAGCATCAACAACTACATGTATGTATGTATGTTAGCATTACCAACTATGTATGTATATTTTGCCATACGTTGTACCCACTACATCGGTTGCGCAATAAAGTTCTTCTTCTTCTTCATAATATTCTTGTTTGCAAAGGTATGATAGCAACAAAAACACATTTTGTCTATTGTTTAGGGTTATACCAGCCCTCATTGGTGGTATCGCTCAGGAGCCGTAACGACACCAGTGCGACGATGTCCGGCTTGTTCAGCGGAGTGGAGTACTCCCTCACGGTTCTTGCCTTTGGACTGTGGAATGACAGCGCTTACATCAGTGTCGAGTGTACAACTGGTACTTATACCATTACTTTATACAGTAGGAAATACAACATCAACAATTTTAGATGAATGATTGTTCTGATACTTTCGCGATTGATGTTAGCTTGTGTAAAAATGTTTTTAATGTTTTGAAGTCAATTTCCGTAATATCACTTCATCAATTCAGCCTTCGGGCTGCGGCTGTTGTGATATAGTTGAATTGACGTCATAATAAACCATTCTACAATTGTGTTCCATAGTCATTTTTAAGTAACGATAAGTATTTAAGTATGATAAAATATTTAACCAGTTGCTTGCTTTGTAATATACTAGTAAAATCATGTAATAAATTTATTGCCTTACACTGATGTCAATTCAAGATTGTTTTATTAGTACCAAAAGTATATTTTACAAACGTCAGTGAACAACCTCATTTATCGTTTCAACTACAGGTTTGCCGCCTCCTGGAAACTTCATATCCAGCCAAGTCACCGAGAACTCGGCCACTGTTCAATGGACAAAGCCTGCTGATGCACAAGTAGTTGCCTACAGGGTGTGGCTAACAGAGAAGGGAACCGCGCTCACAGTTTCCACACAGTATCTGCTTGATTCAGCGACTTTCGCCGCCTTTACTTTCCTAACCCCTGCTACCGAGTACGTGGTGGTAGCAACCTGTATCAGTCCTTCCGTCGAGGGACCGCAAGCAAGCGTCACCATCGTAACAGGTAAAATGTTTCATATATTAATTGGACTGACATTGGTATGATATAAGATCAGCTTCGTAGGTAGGTAGGTATGTATATGTGGCGTATAATTGCTGCTCTTAAAAACACAATTTCATTGAATATCAAGAACATCCCCATTGGTAAACAATACACGATTAGGAAAATCCAACACACAACGCAAAGGACAACCAGCTACTTTGCATCAGTTGAGGACTGATGCTTTTCCTTTTTATCCTAATTGTATACGGATTATTTCCATGCAGATACGGATCCTCCAAGGCAGCTGTCAGTGGACGACATTGGGTACCACAGCTTGGGTCTGTCCTGGGTCCCTCCAGTTGCACAACTGACGGAATACGAACTGACCTACAGCAGATCTGAGACCAGCAGGAAACGGCGATCTCTCAACTCTCTCGCGCTCCCGGGTGACGTCGGTAACTATTGGTTACAAGGACTTGTCCCTGCCACTCAATACGTCATCAGCTTGACGGCCGTCAGTCGGTTTGGGCGGAGTGATACAATCAACACAACGGCGAAAACAGGTTCGTTGGCGTGTTTGCAATTGACGGGAACCTTGCAGTACTATCTCAAGTCATGTTTAGTCAGGTTTTTCTGTGTCGACAAAAATGTACACGAAGAACAACGAGCATCGAGACCTAAGCATGAAGAATATCTACTTTTTATATCCTTTGCAACTCAAACAACAAATGTAGAAGAAGATATTTCAATTTAATTTTAGCAAATATTATTGTTATAATTTATCTAATTATGTAAAAAAAGGGCACACGCCCGGTTTTTCACAATTGCAGTTTTAAGGTTAGCATTTTGTGAAAGATTGTTCTACCTTTCACAAAATCTTTTACCTTTTACAGAATGAAATAACTGGTTCTGAGAAAAAACAGTCATAAGGGAGAGTATAGTTATGACTCTACTAAAATGAGAAGTTAGAAACGAATAACTTTCTCTGTACAAAGTAGTTAAATGCACATTGTATTAACACCTTATGAAAGTATTCAGACAGTCCCTACTTCCATGTTTTATACAGGTACAGATCCTCCCACTGATCTGAACATAAGGGATGTTTTCCCCACCTGGATGCACGTGGCCTGGACAGCACCTGCCGCAGCTGTTGTCTCGTATGATCTCACGGTTACCGAAGCTGCGACCATGGCGAAGAAGCATTTCAGGTGAGGAAACTGTCACCATAAAATGTGTCCTTTTTAATTTTTAATACAAATGTGACCTTTTCCTCAATACCCATTTGGTTCATAAACAATTGTTAGTCTGACATACATGTACAGACTAAGTATGGAGATTTTCCTAAATATAACATTATATTGTATGCACACGACATATTAGGTATACGTAACTGTTCATCTATCTATATACTTATCCTTGATAAAATGTATACTGATATCATAGATGGGGGGAAATAATTGACAGCGTTTTTAAACACCTCACCCAGTTGTTGTTTTTTTAGTTTGTATGGTGTATGATGTATCTGGATATTATACTCTTATTAGTCTTTTTTTAGTCTTATTATCGTTGTTGTTTAGTAGAATACTACCATCAGCAATACGGCATATAAACGTTGCCTTGCCTTTTATCACAGCATACCCCCTGCAGAAACGAGCTTCAACATAACCAGCCTGTTCCCAACGACGAAGTACATTGTCCGGATTGCAGTCGTCAGCATGTACGGACGCAGTGTGGAAGCTGTGATCTTCGGTAGCACCGGTATGTTCAAAATCCTACTTTTAGTTCAAATTCAAATGGGGCAAAATCCGGCAAAATGGTGTGTAAATTATTCACATATCAACTGTTATCCATATTAACTGTAATCCAGTTATATCCATTAGCCAAGTACACTTACTAATATATTCATGTTTATAATCATATCTTTTTAAACATTTTCTTAGTTGACAAAGAAGACGTGATAACAGACCCAACACCGGCAGCGCCGACATCAACAGCAAAGCTCCTGAGTACAACAGACATCGTACTAAAAACGACAACCAGTGCGAAATTAAAGATCAGTACTAACACGTTTTGGCTCGACCACTTTGATGCCACAAAAGCTAAAAGAGAAGGTGACTATTACATTTCATTTTATTTTTATTACATGTATTCCTTAGCTTCAAGTAGCCGTTATAGTTAGAGTAGTAGTGTAACTAGCATTTAACTATGTTACTTATACATAATGACGGTTATAGCGACTGACCTTTCCAGGTTGACTGAATGTTATTGATGCACATGTTCATTGTTTCCTGTAAATAACATTTTGAAGGTTGATAACCTGACTTGCAAAATTTTGGGTTGTCTTATATTTTATGTACTGTACCCACTCATCTGGGATTAACGATCATCTAATGTTTACCATATGTAGTCCAGTAGGGGAAACATAAAAATTCTAAGGGTTTCAACAAATCTAGGTTGCCAGTAGTAGTGGAAAGGAAAGAAAGGAAAGGTCTCCCATGCTTCTTATGCAGAGCGTAGGGTGGTGCCCATATCCATTTCTGTAGCCCTTGGGCGACACACAGTTGTGCAATGCACTACAGCAGGGGGGTGGTCCGCTGGTAGTGCTGTGTGTTTGACCTCCCCACTCTCATATGTGCTGAGTGCTAAGCAGAGAAAGAAGTGTGTACCATTTTTAAAGTCTTTGGTATGACCCGGCCGGGGTTTGAACTCACGACCTCCCGGTTACAAAGCGAGCACTCTACCAATTGAGCTATTGCACCGGTTATAGTGTAGTAGAGGGTTTTATACAATCTTAATTTTCTGACACAGCAAGTGTGTATACGGTTTTGTTACAGATACCACGGCAAAACCAGCAACATTTGTGATGGAAAACGTGCAGATAACATCAACGGCTGCTACGACAGTTCAAGCTAGTAAGGCCACTTATTATTTGTCTGTAAAGAGCAGTGTTAAGGTACCACGACATTGCCTATACTTAAACTAAAAATGTTCCCCGTGTTTGCATTTACACGCCACAAAACTGGTCCCACAGTAATTTGAATAGATTGATAAACTATAGTCATCTTATAGGCATCAGTGTAAATTGTTGTCTTGCAGGTCCTAGGATGCCAACGGACGCACCCACAGTAAGGACAGCATTAAATGGTATGTGTAAATTGTGATAATTGCCCAACGAAAACAGTCTCGTTTGGCAGTTAACAACAATTTTTTGCGTATTTTGCATGATGGAGGTGTTGACCGTGTATAGATGTCCGTGATTCTATTACAGGCATTTTACGGACATTTCCTCTGAATTTATGATGAATATATAAGAAATTCATAGCTTTTTCTTCAGACCTTGATTTTCGACAGGAGACTTCTTACACTTGCCTTACATAATTTAACCTTTCTCTTACACTTTGGTTAGTGGGGTTAGGCATCGTTTTTCGTAATATTGCATATGATAAGTTACCCTTTTTATCGATTTTACTTCAAGGCAAATATGATTGGTCCACTCCTGGCAGGACGCGTAGTCCCCTCCAAGCGGTAATAAAATTATATTTTCTTTGGTTTTGTTATCATAAATGTAAAGATTCTCGTGTTATATTTAATGGACAGTGCCTCTACTATCGTTTGCTTGTCTATCGATCGCGAAATTGATTCTTTGGCAATTGAGGATAATAGCACTGTGTACCGGTTCGCTACCGGTTCCGGACTTGTAAAATGTTAAGGTGGTTCAATCTAAAAAAAAACTGAAACGCAAGAACCAGTTCCAGGCTTAGTAAAAAAACATGTCACATGCCCCTTTTCGTTCCAAACCACCTAAAACCTTCTATAGATTGCAAAATCTGTGCTGGAAAATGAAGAAAACATTGTCATCGGGCATCGTCAAGTGTTAGCATCCATGTTATGCGGCCAAAGTTTCGGCCAGACAAGATTTTAAGGTTGCCAACATGCTTTTTTTATATGCCTTGGGTTTAGGTCCAGGACCTGAACCTAAACCTTTGGACTCGAATCCGGATCTGAACCTAAATATTGGTTTAGGTACACAGCACTATATATATATATATATATAAAATATTGGTAATAACTGGCGTTTTCTTCTTGCGTAGCTACAACGTCTGAAGCATCAAATGGAACAGTCCAGCGTCGAAGGAGCGTCGTTACAAGACGTGATTGGAGTTGTTACAGGGATCAACGATTTACTCCAGCTCGACACGTCAGAATTATCCTCGCCTGGAGTTCCTCCCGAACTGGTAGGACAGCGTTACAGATTAGAGAAGAAAAATAAAAATCACAAATATTTACCTCTCATATGTCTGTTTTTGAAAAATTTAATTAGAACATCTAATCTCCAAGCAGATCCCTCTCGGTGGCAAAAAGACAGTATCAAATTGGCCAGGCAGTATCCATTAGCCAGAGAAGCTCCATTAGCCACCGACTTCATTATGTGTTGAAAATCAAATATATATTCATTTTGTTGATCTCGAACGTTTATTTGGTAATTCTGTACGTAATCATGTTAGCTCTGCTACGTTGTAGTGCTGTCGCTGTCAGCTGGCGGTATGCTAATAAGGCATGTGCGGTTGACTGCGCGGGCCCAAATTGCACTGTACAGCGCGCTGGGCGGTATCGTAAAAGTATTACCGCTACCAGTTCACAGATTGCGGGAAATAGGGGCACGGGGAGGGACTTTGACACATTTCTCAAAGAACTACTCCTCCTCTTGTCCTCTGTGGCTGCGACTTTCGGCAGAGGTTGGTGGGGATCAGGACAAAAAAAAAACGGCCGTATATAAAAAGGTAACGATCATTCCCCACAACCTCTGCTTGGAGAGTATAGATCATCATGATATTTTATATGTTATCAGGGTATTAGTCGTTAAAACAGAGGACATCTTTGATGATGGCACCCTTGCTGCACATACAGATAGTTACTCTACAAAGTCAAGTAATATTTTCACATGAACAATAATGATCTCTGCTTGCCTTACATTTTCAACAGAAGGAGGGCATAGATGTGCTGAGCAAGTCTGCTGAACTCATCAGATCCTCTCAAGGCGCCACAGTGGCAACGATGGAGACACTGTATAAAGGTACGTAAAAGAAAGACCAATAGCTACCTGCATTGTGAGATTTCATCACATATCACCCAGTTCACAGTTCACATATCACCAAGTTCGATTGCATGTACGTAATTATTCTTGACGTAGCTTACTGATAGTATTTTCAAGGGCATGTACAGGACGATCACTTGCATCATCTGGTCTTAATTAATATTATACGTTTGTAACAACATTATCAGTAGCTTGATGTATCAATTATACCCGTCACAACATAATGTCATCATCTGTTGAGCAGTACCGAATACTTTACAGGCCCTTTGATGGCCATTTGTCTTACACATGTAAACGGACCATAATCAGTTATTCCTGTTTGCATCATCATCATCATCTTGTCGTTTTAAATACTCATCATAATAGACATATATCAATTGCAAGACCTACTATGGCATCATTTCCGTGTCAAAATTACGGACGTAAAAATGTCACGTTTTGAGGTCAATACATGTACGTCACGTTTGCTGGATCAATACGCTTTCTACATGACCTTCGCGCCAATTCAGTAAATAGAGGTCCTTTTCGAAATGTGTTACAGCCGTAACACAAACCGTCTCCAGCATGGTGCAAATGCTGCCATCAGGAAACTCCACCATTCTGGACACCTCATCGCCTCTGTTTGAAATGGCTGTGATAGATGTCAACTCGGTGGACATGTCTCCAAAACAACAGCTGAAGAACTTCAAAGATCAGCAATGGGCATCTGCGCAGCAGGTTGGTAATAATCTACGTTTGTTACATTTTGCTTCATGTTATGCTTTATGTTTCATAAACCTCATCTGTACAAAGGTCAGAAGGTTTATTTGCTTGGTATAACAATAATGTATCATAATGTCTATCAGGGACGTATATATCGCATGTCTTGTCAGTTGTAATTTGTAATTTGTGTACGCAAACTATCTGCTGTAAGGTTTGCTTTTTGGTGTCAGGAATATATAAATTGTAATAGTTGGTCCAAGATACATCTAATCTGAATGGCTAAGCTCTTATGAACCTAGTGAAACTATTTCCTAGGGTCATGGTCAGGGAACATTTTATAATTCCTCTTGTATAATTTGTCTGAATCTTGGAAATTGCAAGCTCTAATGTAGCTAGAAATGAGGGTTGTATAGTGTATCTGATTTTGAATACAATAAATATATAAAATCAATACACTATCTAAATCAGTATGAGTACTTTTTCCATGAAGGGGCAACTGTTACAGTAATATATTACTTAAGCATCAAAATTAAGAAAAAAATTACGTGAATTTGCATTTCAACCTGTAGCTCCGTAACTCTGGACTCTCCTTGGTGGAAACCGTGGAACGAATAGCAGACGACCTTCTGGCCATGTTGCCAGACATCGAAGACTACGCGAAGACATTTGAAAACGACGATGTCATCGTCCATGTTGCAAAGTCCACTAAAAGGGATATAATGGAACTCCAGGTTGGCACTAATAAGGTCTCAGCCTCTCCCACGGATTGTGCTTTAGATGGGGGTACGGATGCTAAGGTCAGTGGGTTAATTACTCTGTTGTTTCATTTACCTTTTAGGTAATGTGTTTTCATTTTATGCACCCTACATTTTATCTACTTTTAATATTAAACGCCAATGTGAACTTTGATGCAAGAATTATGAAGCAGTATAGTTTAAAGATATAAAGTAAGCTATATATATTGTGAGACATATTTGGTGTCATTTTTTATCATTTAAAATTGAGGAAGGGCAGCCTTTTTATATTTATTGTAATGTGAAACGTCAAATACATATTTTTTTTGTTTGTTTCGCAATGCATTTTAACAATTTACCCTTGTGTGCTGCAGATGACTGTAATGAAGAGGAATCTGTTTTCCTGGAACGCATCTACCTTTGGGGAAAACGTCACCACACCCGTGACTATGTTTTCGTGGGGACCTCATCTCTTTGACAGCTGCTCTATGCAGCTGAACCTCACCAATCAAATCACACTTGGAATCATCGGAGAACCACCAAAACGTCAAAAACGTGACCTTCGGAAACGTGGTTTAGTCGGGACACAGTCTGCTCTACGAGACATCGCCGGCGGACGGAACAGCAACGCGACGATGGCTCACCACGCGTTTGACGTACCGACCGACAACGTCGTCGTTGTGATGCAGTTATCGTGGTGGGATCACGCCGCAGCCTTCCGTGTGTTCTCCCGGTACGACACGCCTCCAACGGAGCATCTTCATGACGACGTGATGATAGTTCAGGAAGAAGACGCTTTTGTGGCTTGGCATCGAGGAACAAAAAGCATGCGACCATTTACTCCAAATATCCAGAGACGGCGGGGGAGACTTTATGTCGGGATACAAAAAGCAGGTAATGTCATCTGAAGCTAACAAGCCGATTCAATACCATAGCAACTATAGTATACATGTATTGCAAAAAGCGTTTCTTTCACAGCACTATACTAATTCTGACAAAATCTGTAAATTCTTTTTTATTTGTCTATCTAACGTAATTGTACTTAAAATTCAACCTAAACACCTCTGCAGAATCTCCCACACGTCTGCAAATGGCACCTTCGCCAGACGATTACAGAATTCAGGCAACAACAGTGAGCTGTCTGAACTGGGATCATACGTTGGAAAAGTGGCAAGAAACTGACTGTGGGGTAAGTTTTGGATGTTATGTGAAACTGCACTGTAGACCCACTGCATATACCTGCATTAATTATGAATCAGGAAGTTTTACTACGTTAATCAGATGTTTAAAAAATCAACTAGAAGCACTTGTAATCATTGCTTTTTTTAATAAATGGCGACTGAAAAACAGTATTCCATTAAATAACGTATCCCCTTATTCAATTTCAGAAGTACCCTATAGTTCTAATAATATTAAATACCTGTTCAATTCTTTCCTTGAACTAGGTCCACGTAGATCCATCAGATAGTACCATCACATGTAACTGCAACGTTCCCAGACCGAAAGCTGTTATTGGCGGCTCCCTGCACGTCCTTCCTAATTCTATTGACTTTGACAACATCTTTCAAGATCCCAACATCCTAAATGACAACAAACTTGTCTTCTGTATGGTGATCGGAGAGTTGGCTCTCTACTTGGTATTGATGATTATACTCAACGTGGACTTTAAGCGCCTTCGAGTGAGTATATTTAGATCTTTTCAAGCTTATCAAGAGTGCAATTTCGAATATACATTAAATTTCTTGAAGTATAGTTTTATCATGTTTACCTTCGCAGAAGGAAAACCCATTATTTTTGCTCTGTTTCTTCTTCTTCCTCCTCCTCTTCATCTCCAAACAAAGAAAGAAATGACCTGAACCAGACATCTGTGATGCACCATGGTAACTAGTGTTGGGTTGCATTACGCTTCATGTTGCAATTTTATAGCAGGAGGGATTTATACTTCTGCCACCATATACTAGTATATAAACGTGTTTGAGTAAGAATTAACAGAGCAGACAATAGGAGAAGGTAAATATTATGCACTTTCTTCGCAAATTTTCCAGATATAGTGTTTTCTTTTTAACTCCTTTTTTGTATCAGAAACAGGCGACTCCTGACAATACGAAGCCATTACCGCTGGTGTCCGTCCTCCCTCCGGACAGGATGCCAGCCCCATATCTGTACCAGATCACCGTCACCACCGGCTCCATGCTTGGTGCTGGCACATCGGCCCGAATCGGGTTCCAAGTCTTCGGATCAACGAGCAAAACTACAGTCAAGATGTTGAACCCGACCGGAGAAGTATTAAGTTTAATAGTCTTATATATATGTAACATTTCATGACTGATGCTCAATTATTTTCTGTTTGTTCTCTTTTCTCAGATTTCACTACAATTGAATTGATGATTATCCATTCATAAAAAAATCAACGTCCTACTACGGTAACGTTCTAAAACGGCAACGTCTGAAAATATGGTAACGTCCAAAAAATGGTAAAATTCTAAAACGGTAATGACTAATGTCCTAAAACGTACTAAAAGCCCACTTCCGTGCCTTATACAGTCCTTGCTACGTGGTGGTATTTATGATGTCATCATGCCCCTGAAGTCGTCACTAGGACAGCTGGAACTGCTGCATATCTGGCACGACAACACCGGTGTGGATGAAGCTTCGTGGTTTCTGAAGGACATCATTCTGAAGGACCTGCAAACAAATGAAGTGTAAGATACAAACAACATGTTATTGTAGTGCTCAGGAATTCTTTATACAATAAATCTATGAACAGGATTTCTACAACAACAGAATTCTACCAAAAAGGTTTTCGTTTATATTTCAAATCATGAGACTTGCTTCTTGAACGTCTTTATGCTGTTGAGCAAACCATTTAAGTTTATCAATCAATTTATGTTTACCACCCGCAAATTCTGTTTCCATACCATTAAGTATGAATTTGCATAATATGCAGATGTACCTAGCATATTTTACTATTTACTCATTTATCTGTAATAATTCTTTGTTGAACGTACACAATGCAAGACGTCAAATGACATATAACAATCAACGATGCGTTATATCACTAAAAGCCATTATTTATTACATACATGAATTCCATAAGTCTTGGCCCGAGAGAATACTTCATCTACGACTTTTTTTGCTGATTTTGCAGTTATCAGTTTGTCTGCTATGACTGGCTGTCCGAAGACCGAGGCGACTTCCAGGTTCAGAAAGTTCTACACGTGGCGACCCGGGAACAGTTAGACTGCTTCAGTAGTCTGTTCCGAGAGAACACGGACGCCATGTTCTACGACCAACACCTGTGGACATCACCCTTTGTGTCACCTGAAGGTACACCTGAATTTACATCAGACATTGACAATATGCTTTCGGTTCCTTTTCTTCTCGTAGCTAACTGCTCAGGACACATATTAGAGAGCTAGTTTAATGTATAATTTCCGAAACGTAAATTAGCTCAAAGAAATTAATAATTTGTACGTAGTGCTGTATTTACTAATATGTACCTCTTTCGAAAATTGTGACTTCGAGCAGCGCTACCGTTGTGTCCAAATTGCACCATTACATTCCCACTATTCCTCATCGGGAGAAAACAATTTTACTACTAAAATCAAAGAACCCACATATTATAGACGAAGTGGGTAAATTCGTCTCCCATTGCCTGAAAAGAAGAAGTCAAACCCAACAAAATTAGTACCACGTATAATGTAGTATCAGGTAGACTCTCATATCATTGTACCTTCTTTTCATTCATATTTTTGTGTGTATTTGCAATCAGCCCTCGGGCATATATTTGCAATAAACTTTATTCACCATTTTTTCAGGATCAACTTTCAGCAAGTCAGAACGCCTGTCTTGTTGCTGTGCTGTTTTTAGCAGCATCATGTTGTCCAACGCCCTGTGGTACAAAAGCGGCGAGGGCTTCGTCACCAAGAACACCGTGTATGATCTTGGATTTTTACAGATTACCCTACAGGTGAGAAAACCGAAAATATTTACCCATTGCTGTTACCTACGAACTTTAAGATAAAAAATGACTAATAGTTTTACCCGTTGCTTATTATGCCTGAGATACTCATGCTGTACGATGCTTGCTGAGATGCCCAAGGAGATCACTTTCCACTACGTTTGATGGTATCCTATCAACTGTTGATGAATTTTAATCTATTCTCTTGCATACTGTACCACCATTTTTCATGTTAACCTTCGCAGAAGGAAACATATTGTTTTTGCTGATTCTTCTTCCTCTTCTTCTTCTGCGAACAAATAAGGTCATCAATGACCTGGACCAAACGTCTGTCACCCACTAGTGTTGGGTTACATCGATGTTGCAATTTTATAGCAGAAGGGATTTAGACTACTATCGCCATATATATATGAATATGTTTGAGTAATAATTAACAGACCAGACCATATGCGAAGGTAAACATTATGCAATTGCTTAGTTACCTGTCTAGTGTTATTAATTCACAATTTGATGTTCTATTTTGTATCCAAGGAGCTGTACGTCAGTCTCATGACTGTTGCCATGGTGTTGCCGGTTGCCTTGGTACCGGCCAGGCTGTTCCGACTGGCAGCAACAGCCCCAACCACGGCCCCGGGAGTTCAGCAGAGCTCCAAATATGGTACGTAGCTTCATCTACCAGGGCTCGAAATTCATTTTGGGAATAGGTGCACTGGTGCACCCAAGCTAAAAAATTGGGTCCACAAAAATATTTTGGGTGCACCACAAAATAAAATACGGTAAGTAGAATGTAAGCAAAAAGTAAACTATGCTTCATCAAAAGAAAATGTTTATCATTTAACATCTTTACATACGTAAGAAATATTTGGGTGCACTGGTGCACTGACAGAAGAGAATGGGTGCACAGCTCCAAATTTGAATTCACTAAGGTGCACGTGCACATGCACCAATTTCGAGCCCTGTCCACGTATTGACTAAGAGCATTTCAGCAAAACTTACCGCGCCTGCATAAAATCCAGAACGTAACGTGCATAACGTATTCTGGCCTTGTTTTAAGCGAATACTAATTTCGATTTGAGTATATGCCCTGACATGTACATGTATATGTATCAATGCCAAAATGAATGTCTAAATACCTAAGGTCACATCGCAAAGTTAATTTGTAGAACAACAAAGAAGACACAAAACCATTTGTTTTGACAGGCAAAATCTGTATCCAAGAAAATGAACAGAATCTGGTTGTATGGTTTTAAAAAAGATCATGCAATGGTCATTAATATGTTGTTATACGTACGTCGTGTCAAAAAAACCTAGGCTACAACTCTTTTTTTCACCTTTTCAGGATCGTTTGAAAAGCGATTGTCACGGTTTTCAAAGTACCTGGCGTGGTTTCTGGTGACGATAGTTTCCGTAGTCTCGTCGTTTTTCGTGATCTTGTACAGCCTGGACTGGGGTAGAAAGAAGAGCGAGGCCTGGCTTAAAACATTCTTCCTTTCATTTGGTTTATCAAGCCTCATCGCCGAAACTGGAAAGGTAAACTTTGTCCATTTTTGGTCAATTTCTGTCGCAAAGCCGCAGTACATTTTGTTGTCATTAGGCCACACCGACGTGATTGTTCTTGTTATAAAAAAACGTCCTCCGAGGCTCTGGCCTGGCCCTACGCCTGGGTAGCCCATGGTACCACGTGCACGGAGCCGGTGGTAAATATGGAGGATGGCACCCAGGCTGCCGAAGCTCCACGACTCAATAACTCAGTACATATACGAACAGAGCCGATTCACAAATTCCGCAAAAAGCCAGCTTGTCTTAAACGTCGCACTAGTTTGGAGGGTTTTCAGAGGGAAGTCATCCATAAAATTAAGTCGGTGTGGCCATAATCATAGAGTTCTCCCTCCCTCTCTCTCTCTCTCTCTCTCTCTCCCTCTCTCTCTCTCTCTCTCTCTCTCTCTCTCTCTCTACGTCGTACGTACGTACG